GTGAACTCCCTGCACACTCAGGGTAGGGGCTGGGTAAGGGCTGGGGGAGGACACAGACTCAGCTGTTCTGAGACTGAGGGCCTGGCCCCTGCCCTGCCACTAACCCACTCCAGGTCCTTGGGCACATCACATTCCTCTCCTAGGTCCCTTTTCTTATCTACATAACAGGCAATAAGGTCACTCACTAAGGGTTTTGGTTCCCATGTGGAGTCGTGGATAGGAAAGTGTGTAGTAAAATTATCATGCTCTGAGCTAGGATGCTGTACTGCAAGGTATCTCAATTAAGTCACTCCGGCCATGGGGTCTGACAGAGCCCACTTCAAGTCGTGTTTCATCATTTTACTTCCACGCTCTGTGACTTTGGGCATATCGCCTCACCTCTCTGACCTTCAGTTTCCTTGTCTGTAAAATGGGGGTAGCGTCACTATCTTGCAGCATTGCTATGAGGATTCAGACTTAGATGCTGAGCTCCCTGGGACTAGGAATAATGTTTTCTTGCTCTCTTCTACATTCTAGCCCCTGGCTTATAGAAAGTGCTTCATAAAAAGAGATCATAAAGTGCTGAATTTGAGAGTTTAGAGAAATGATGTGAGGCCGGCAAAGTTTCTTTAGCACGCCCTTCTTCCCTTTAGAAGATCTCATACTTGTTCGCAACCCTTCTCCTTCTTCAGCGCCCTCCCCCTTTCTGCTCTCAGCTCACCTGAACCCTCCCCGACAACCAGCTCCCCAGATTTGGCGGTCTCTACCTTTCCCCAAGCTAGAATTCCACAGAGTTGCAGCCAGGAGGTCAAAACTGAGCCCCAGAAAAGGAAAGCGACTTGCCCAAGGCCACACAGCAAGCAGTCTGGATATGAACTCAGGTCTGAGGCTGACGTCCAAGTATGAAGGAAAGAAGGAAGATGCCACCATTTCCACCACCTTCGCCGTTTTGTCCCAAGTCTGTCCAGGCAGTTTGATGGTGGGATAACAGCCCACACTGCTCAGCCAGCTGACCACTAGCTAGATGGACCTGTCATGAATCTGGATGAACCTTGTGGCCACAGCACACCAAGGATGCAGCCAGGGCCAGGGGTTGCCCCTGAGGAGTGCGAGGTGGCACCTAGGCTGAAACTTGAAGTGACAAAGGGACAAAATCAAGTTTGTGCAGAAAGAGGATGGGTGGGCCCAGCTTGGAGGCTGTTCATACATAAAGACCTAGGATTGTTAAAAGACACTCTTAAAGGTAAGTAAATGTTAGCACAAACATCCTAGTGTCTAACACATAGTTGGTACACAATCAATGTTTATTAAAGTGCAACATGAGCCAACAAGGTGATAGAGCTACAAAGCAATGCTAGCACAGTCTTAGGTCATATTAATAAAAATACAGAGTCTACAGTAAGGAAAGTGACCCACATTCTACTATCCCCCATTCTGGGTTCAATCCTAGATCCTGCACAGAATAGAATCTGGACAAAAAGAGAGAATCTAGAGGATGTGGGGAGAAGTGGCTGGTGGAGCAGGGCACTCAGCCTAGGGATGAGCACTGCATGAGCAGACCTAGTCACTGTCCTCAAGTCTCTGCAGGACTTCTCCACGACAGGGGACAGGCAAGTGTCAGGACCTTGCGGAGCCACTAGGACAGATACCAGTAAATAGATAAAAGACTTTTCTTAAAACGACAGCTGTTTTGGGATAGTCATGAGCACCCTAACATGAGAGGTAGCAGGCTGAGGAACGGGAGGGGTTGGCTTAGGTGTTCTTAGCTTGGAAGATATTAGTCTCTCAGATAATAATCTCTAAAGTGCAGAAGGAAAATATTAGTTCATGTATTTCTACTTAATTTTTAACTAAAAATAATTAATAGTATACAGTTCAACTCTGATGTGCACCCTCGGGCATATGTCAGGCAACAAATGTCACGTCCATTAAATGGGGTCCCCAGAGCCCAGTAGGGAGCCCTGCTGTGGCCACATTTTCCATTTTCTACATTCAGCCTATTGCAACATATTGTGGTGTACTGGTGCTGGGTTGTGTGGATTTGAGATCAAACAATACAGCTTTAACTGAATCAGCCCCATAGCGTGGACAAGTGGCTTCAAAGAGTCCATGCAAAGAAACCACGGATGAAGATAACTCTAATCTAGAAAGTACAAGCAAGCAGCAGGAAATGTGTGAGACAGACCTGCTCCGGCTCCTCCTTCAATTTCTTCATCAGCCATGTTACCACGATGAAAATAACAATGAATGGGATCTCTCACACACACAATTGCCTACTGAAGCCAAAAAGAAAACTATTTGAAAAGTGGATTTCCGCTTATTATCATTGGTAAAGAAATTCACTCCAAGTGTATATTGGGCCTTAGACATTAGCTAATGGCCACATTACTCGGATATAATTTCTAAATCTATAAATACATATATGTTGGGGATGCCTACAGCATTTTTATGGAGAAGACTGCACAATCAAATAATGTGACAACTGTTGCTCCAGACCCTTAGACCCAACTAGGGGATATTATTTTCTGTTTGGGTTTTGGGGTCTAATCAGATTTGTTTCAGACTTAGGGACCAAGTAAAACTAGGCAGGAGTGTGGCCCCTAATAAACCTTTCTGATGCCCCCCAAATGTTTGAAAATTAATGAGAAGAAATCAAAAACTCTTAAAAGGTTTTCCCTGGCTCTGATTCTCCAAGGTGGGTGCCTGTTTAAACAGAGACAGTCCAATCTCCTCTCTCTGTCTCTCTCTCACACAACACACACACAACACACACACACACAAAACACACACACACACACACACACACACACACACGCACTCTAAACACGAAAGGAGGCATACAGTGCAGAGAAAGAGGTTGCTGGCTCTTGAATGTCAGACAGACCTGGACTCAGTTCCCCCCTTTACCCATAGCTAACTGTGAAGACCTCAGGAAAGTAACATCCATTCTTGGAGCCTCAGAATCCTCCTCTGGAAAAATGAGTATGTGTAGAACTCAACAATAAGATGATAACCCAATTTTAAAAGAATCAAAGGATTTAAATAGACATTTCTCTGTAGAAGATATACGAATAGCCAATAACACGTGGAAAGATGCTCGGCATCATTAGTCATTAGGGAAATGCAAATCAAAACCACAATGAGATATCACTTCACACTCAACGTAATGCCTAAGAAAAGAAATACAGACAATAACAAGTGTTGTCGATGCTGTCGAAAATTGGAGCCTTCATGTATTGTCAGTGGAATTGTAAAATGGTATAGCAGCTTTGGAAAACAGTTTGCCGGTTCCTCAAAATGTTAAACATAGATTTATCATATGACACAGCAACTTCACTCCTAAGTATATACCCAAGAGAATTGAAAACTTATGTCCACACAAAGACTTGTACATAAATGTTCACAGAAGTATTATTCATAATAGTCAAAATGTGGAAACAATCCGAATTTCCATCAACTGATATTCAATAGATACACAATGTGATATAATCATACAATACACTCTTATTCTGCCATAAAGAAGAAGTGCTGACACATGCTACAACATGTATAAACCTTGAAAACATTATGCTCAGTGGAAGAAGCCAGTCAGAAAGGATCTCTTATTGTATGATTCTATTTCTATGAAATATTTAGAAACATTTAGAATAAGCAAATCTGTAGAAACAGAAAGCAGATTAGTGTTTGTGGGGGGAGGGGGGCAAAGGGAGTGACTACTAAAGGGTATTGGGTTTATTCTGGGATGATAAACATGTTCTAAATTAGATAGTAATAATGGATGCCCTACTTTGGGAATATACTAAAACCACAGAATTGTACACTTTAAAAGGGTAAATTTTATGGTATGTGAATGATCTCTCAATAAAGTGTTGTTGTTGTTTTTTTTTTTAAAGAGAACTTCCCACATAGGATTGTTATGAAAGTAAAATAGGGCCTCTAGCAGGGTAATGCCCAGCATGAGCCCTGGAGTATATAGCCAGTGTGGTGGCTTTTCGAGGATTCCAAGATCCAGGTACCTTAGTGTTTTAGAGGGCTACACTAGTCTGAATTTTAGAAATTTCAGAGCCAGGAGGGAGTCTCATTATTTACAGATCTGCTTAGTTTGGACTCCAAACAGAACACTTCACTCAATATAATGCCCACTAACACATACTTCTGACTCAACTTTTTTGGTAGTTTCTAAAGAAAACAATAAAATAACAGGCACAAGATCATATATAACCTTTCTTGTCCCCCTTAAAAGAAAAATGGATTGGTTCGAGGCTTGAAAGCTGCCCCTGAGAAGAGGAGCTGGAATGCTCTGAGCAGAGGGGGCTCCCCTGATTTAGGATGACAGCCCAGGAGATAGAGAGGGAAGATGATGCTTGGACAGGGGCAGGTGGAGGCTCCCCTATAAGCCACACCACTTTGGTGAGCTTCTGACAGGCAGCAGGGCCCCCTCCCCCAAGGCTCAGCTCTCTCTGATCAGCATTTTTGCCCCAAAGGTAAATTTGAGCCCGAAACAGAGGAGACAACTGGCCTCATCCTCCCACATCTGACATGCCTGGCTCAGGGCCCACAGTGGTTTCCGAGGGGAGAACAAAAGGGTGGCTGCCTTTATTTACTGGTCAAAGCACAGAGGCTAAGAGGTTTGATGGGACACCCTTGCCTTCCAAAGCTCCCCTCCCCACAAGGGCAGAGTGGGAGAGGCCTTCAGAGATCTAGTTAAACTCTTCACAAATGGGGAGATTGAGGCTCAGAGAGGTCAAGGAGTTTTCTGAAAGTCCTACAGCAAGTTTATGACAGAATCAGGAGTTGGCCATCTGCTATGCTTGGCTGAAGCCTCAAAACAACCCAAGGGGTAAATATTTGTCATCCTCCCCAGATTTTTCCAGAGATGGTGACTGAGGTGCTCAGCCAGCTGGGAAGACAAAAAGCTGGGATTCAAATCCGAGCTCCCTTAGGAACCACAAAACATCAGCCCTGTTGAAAAGCCAGTTCTCTTAAAATTTAACCCCTCTCCCTGCCCCATGTTCCATTACCTGTGATCCCGAGGCCTGTCAGGTGCAAGGCGAACTGTGTGTGAACTGTGCTGATGCCAGCCTGGGCAGGGGAAGAGGACAATGGCCACACCCCCTGTGATGGGAGGGGGCAGGATGTGACTTGTTCCTGGGCCCCACTTGCTCACTGCTCACCCTAGTGGCATTCCTTCCTGCCAGAACTATTGGCCCCAGGAACTCCTGTCTGACTTGATTCTTCCTTATGACACCCCAGGACCTTAGATGGGGCTACTACACCCCAGACCCACCTCCTAGACCATGGCCATGCCCTCTGTTTCCGTCGGCTGTGCCTAATTCTAGGCAGAGATGAGGTGAGGTGTGTCCCAAGTCCCCACCTCCACCCAAGTTGTTAAGGCTGACTCAAGACCCAGCCATGTGGACCAACCTGATACTCCTGGGAAGAGTAAAGGTGAGCAGACAGCAGGAGAGGAGGCCCCAGGAGCTCAAGGGGCTGGGGACTCCTATAAGCAGACTGGCAGTGCCCTCTCCTGGTGAAGAAACAGGGTAAAAGCTAGAATGTCCACTGCCTTGTGAGATGTAAAACACAAGTCCCATGGAGTGAGGACTGACCTCTCACAGCTGAGGCCAGGAGTAAACCCAGCTCAGCCTGCTTCTGCCTCTCACTCATTTATCAAATACTCTGGAAGCAAGACAGTAAGCAAGTCCTACATCACCCTGGGGAGCACCCAGACCAGAAGGAGACAGGCCATGACAGGCTTCATGAGAGCAAAGCCCCAGGATCTGTGGGTTCCCAGGAGGGCTTCCTGAAAGAAGAGTCATCCAGATCCTAAGCTCGAGCCAAAATCTTGGAGTCATCCTTGATTCCTTGCTTTCTCATACTCTGTATCTGAATTATCTGGAAAGCCCTGTTGGACTCACCTTCCACATATCCTGAATTTGGCCCCTTCTCTCCATCTCTATGGGAACCACCCTGGTCTAGACAACACATCACTAGTCTCTCTGCTCCTGCCCTCAGCCCGTTGTCTGTTGTCATCACAGTAACCAGAAGGATTTCATTAAAACCCAACTCGGCTCAGGTCCCTCCTCCACTTGCACCCTCTCAGGGCTCCCACTTCACTCAGGATAAAACTCAAGTTTCTTACGTGGCCCTGCGTGATCTGCCACCCACCACCTCTTGCTCTCTCTGACCTTAATTCCTATGACTTCCTCTCTCACTCTGCCCCAGCCATACTGGAATGCGCCCCAAACATCCAGTTAGGCTCCCTCCACAAGGCCTTTGCCCTGGCTGTTCCTTCTACCTAGAATGCTTTTCCCCAGACAGCCAGCTGGCTCCTTTCCTCACTTCTTCAGGTCTCTACTCAAACGTCGCCTTCTCCAAGAGGGCTTCCCCGATCACCTCGTATAAAGTAGTAACCTCCAGCACCACCTTTCCTTCTCATCCTGCCTCATTGTTCGCCAACCAACATTTTATAACTTTTCTTGCTATGCTTATTTCCTTGTTATGTACTTGTTTGCTCCAGGACCCAGGACAGTGTCTTACACATAATAGGTGCTCGATAAATTTTGTTGAACAAATGAGTGACCTGAAAGGGTAGCCCAAGAAGCATTACAAGGGCATTCTAGGCAGAAGAAGCCATGTGTGCAAAGGCTTAGAGGTAAGAGACACTACTATGTTGAGGATTTGTGAATAATTCGGTGCAGCAGGAGAGTGAGACCTTAGGGTCTAGAGGAAGGGAGAAGAGAAAGCCGGTGAAAAGGCCTTGTGGAGGGAGCCTAACTGGATGTTTGGGGCACATTCCAGTATGGCTGGGGCAGAGTGAGAGAGGAAGTCATAGGAATTAAGGTCAGAGAGAGCAAGAGGTGGAAAAAAAAAAGGCCATGTGATAGCTCTTTACGTATTTTTGTATTGATTACCTGTTTAAAAGATAATAGTTTAGATTTATTGGGTTAAAATATATTGTTAAAATTAGTTTCACTTGCTTCTTTTTGCTATTTTTGACAATTTTAATTGGAAAATTCAAAATTTTTTGTAGGTACTTAGAGCTCACAATATAGTTCTGTTAGACAGCACTGATTTACAGGGCAGAATGAACAGGGCTTGGTGGTGGATGAACTGCGGGGATTCTAACTGCAAGTCTGCATTCCCCTGCATTTGCTCCTTTGTGATGAGAGCATATGGTCCAGTGGCAGAAAGAATGGGCCACATGGGAGAGCTGATAGTTTTCATTTCAACACAAGCATACACAAAAAATTCATAGCTTTACAGTAAACTATATAGAAATAAGTTAACAGAATAGGCAATGAGATCTCGTCCTGGAGGTATGTAAGAAGAAACTTGAAGACCACTATTAAGCAGGGGAAAGAAAGTTGAACTAATTAGTTATGGTCTCTGGACCAGCAGCATCAGCATCATCTTTTAGAAATGCAAATTCTCAGGTCCCATTCCAGTCTTACTGAATCAGAAACTCTGGAGGTGGGACATACAATTCATATTTTAACAAGTCCCTGAGGTGATTCAGATGCCTCCTAAAGTTTAAAAGTTTAAGGACCACTGAACTAAATAATACTTCCTACCATTAAAAGGTTTCAATGACTGACACATAGTAGATATTCAGAAAAAATCAGCCACTATCTTTTGTTGGCCTTCTAGTCCCAGGTTAAGGTATTTTCCCTGAGCAAATGAAGAATTTGCCTCCTGTAGCACCTGGTTGTATGTGTACTTGGCATAGGATGAAGGCACAACTTCAGGCCACTTCCTGTATCTCTGCCGTGGGCAGATCTCCAGGGCCATGACAGAGCTAACAGAGGTGTAAGGAAGGTTCCAGCTCAGCTCCATTCTGAGGTGACCTCACTGCCATGTGTGTGTGTGGTGGCGGTGATTCATAAGAGAGCTGTCCTGTGAGCACAGTTGACAGCCCTAGGGAGCCAGCTCAGCAGCTGAGCTTGGCATCCGGCTTCCCTGCATTCCAGAACAGCCAGCCTGGGGCCCACCTGACTCAGCAAGGACATGCACTCTGGGGACAACAGCAGCTCAGCCTCAGTCTCCACATCCACCAGAATGGGAAGAAGGCAGCCCCTATCCATGGCGAGATTTTTGTATAAAGTGCTCAGAGTGGTGCCTGGACAGTCAGCCCTCACTATGCCTTGGCATTCTTGTGATGAGTCCATGGTACCCCTCAGGCTGATGGGAATTTCCTGATGACTCCTTAGGTCTGAGAAGGTGTAGGGGTGAAAGAATGTGCACCTACTGTGAACACCCAGTTCCTGACAAAGAGCTCCTAAAACCCTTATAATTTCCTTAGTTGATGGAGGTGATAGGATCATCTTATGAAGAGTTTCTAAATCCTTTGAAATTTTCTGGGTTATAGAATCATCTTTTGTTCTAACGAAGCAACTCTTGATGGGCTCTTGGATAGCTCCAAGATAGAGGCTGGTCTCCAGAAAGACCAAGCCATGATTAGAAGCTTGGAACTTTCAGCCACTGGGGAGGGGAGAGATTCTAGAGATTGAGTTAATATTTGATCATGCCTACATGTTGAAGCTTCCATAAAAATCTCTAAGCTATGGGGTTCAGAGAGCTTCCAGATTGGTGACATATCCATATGCCAGGAAGGTGGTGCACCCCAACTTCATGGGGATAGAATCTCCTTTGCTTGGGGCCCTTCCAAACCTCACCCTATGTGCCTCTTCATCTGGCTCTTCATCTATATCCTTCACATCTGTGTAATAAACTGGTAAACATAAGTTTAAGAAGCTGGTAAACATAGTAAACATTTTCCTAAGTTTTGTGTTTTGTTCTAGCTAATTATTGAAGCTGAGGAGGAGGTAGTGGGAGCCTTCGATTTATAGCCTGTCAGTCAGAAGTATGGAAGACCCAGATTTGCAATTGGCATTTTAAGTGGAGACAGTGTCATGGAAATAAGCCTTTGGATCTGTGCAAATTATGGTAGTTAGTGTCAGAATTGCTTGGTATGAGGGGAAAAACACACATTTGGTGTCAAAACTGTTGTAAGTAGACTCTCAAAACCTAGATTACTAGAATTGAATATATAAGTAAATTATTGTAGATTATTAGAGCGACATCTATTCCTGTTAAAGAAAGAAGTTACAAATAAGGAAAGAGGGAAGATTAAAATGAATTCTGTGGTGTTGGATTGAAATCAGAGGTATCAGTATGAACTTATGGTTTTTATTATAGATACAGCATCTTAATCCGTTAGGTTGCTATAATAAAATACGATAGACTGAGTGGTTTATAAACAATGGAAATTTATTTCTCACAGTTCTGGATGCTAAAAAGTCCAAAATCAAGGCACTAGTGGATTCGGTGTCTGGTGAGGGCCTGATTCCTGGTTCAGGGATAGCCACTTTTTCATTGTGTCCTCACGTAGTAGAAGGTTATAGCATCTTAATCCGTTGGGTTGCTATAATAAAATACGATAGACTGAGTGGTTTATAAACAATGGAAATTTATTTCTCACAGTTCTGGATGCTAAAAAGTCCAAAATCAAGGCACTAGTGGATTCGGTGTCTGGTGAGGGCCTGATTCCTGGTTCAGGGATAGCCACTTTTTCATTGTGTCCTCACGTAGTAGAAGGAGAGAGGGATCTCTCTAGGGTCTCTTTTATAAGGGCATTAATCCCATTCATGGGGGCTCCACTCTCATGACCTAACCTCCTCCTAAAGGCCCCCATCTCCTAATACTATCACCTTAGGGTTAAGATTTCACCATATTATTTGGTGGGACACGGACATTCAGACCATAGCATATAGACGTAGATGTGCGTATATGAAGGTTAGTGTGTAGATATAGATATAGATATAGATATAGATATAATTGATATAGATATAGATAGAAATAGATAAAATTTCATAGCTCTGTCTGCTGGGAGGGTCTAGAAGAAATGGCATCCAGTAGCAATGAACACATCCAGTACCCAGATCTTGGTTCTAAGCACCATTCTCCAGTAAAAGTACTCCTTGAGAAAATAGATAAATATAGTTGCAACAGGGAAGATACAAAATAAGCCTTGAATATTTTTTGATGCCAGGATAAAAGAAAGTGCTCATAAAAAGATGCGGGCTCATGGAA